TAGAAAGCCCCAATAATTCTAAATAAAAGGAATGCTACTACATATATTGTTGCAACATTTGAGGATGAAGGCAATTTTAATAGCATTATGAATATGAATGTATCTTAAACTGTAAGTCTCATATTGCCATAGTATATAAACATAATGTGAACTTGCAGAGTACAAATAAGGCCTGTTACTGAGATGGCCACCTTTCACATCATACAAAAATAGGCAACAAAGAATCTAGCAAATGGTTAGTATAAGATTTACAAGGCTAGGCTTAGTCCAAGGTAATGCACCAATTCAGGTTTCAACTTTTTCCTAGGTATAAATAGAGGAAAGCATGTGCCATACCAGGTAAGTCTTTCTCTTCACAAGTTACTGGGATATTGGTGAATAAAGTAGGCTTAGTCAGCCGCATCACTGTGAAGTAAAAAAGTAAAACAAAACAAAACATTAATACTGCTTAGGGTTAATATTCTCAAGTCTAGTGTATGATATTCATCCATTTTATACTAACATAAAATATAATCTAAATACTTCCTAAATATAATACTATATACTCCCTAAGGTTATCACACATTAGTGATTTATTAAAAATTTTAATGTTACAAAAATAATTTTATATAAGAACCACTTATTTACAACCTATGAATTATAAAAATTAAATGTAACTATAATATACATTCATTATAGAGAAACTGGATACATTTTTAAAGCTTAAATAATATTAGGAACATAAGGCTTTAAAAAATTCCAAGTGACTTCACTGTAAACAATATCAACAAAATATGAACACTGGAAACTCACTAAGTGTTTTTTGCTTTTTTTTTTTTTTTTGAGGCAGAGCCTTACTCAGTCACCAGGCTGGAGTGTAGTGGCACGATCTCGGCTCACTGCCACCTTTGCCTCCCAGGTTCAAGAGATTCTCCTGCCTCAGGCTCCCAAGTAGTTGGGATTACAGGAACACACCACCATGCCTGATTTTTTTTTTTTTTTGTATTTTTTGTAGAAATGGGGTTTCACTTCATTGGCCAGGCTGGTCTTGAACTCCTGACCTCAAGTGATCTACACACCTTGGCTTCCCAAAGTGCTGGTATTATAGGCATGAGGCACCACACCTGGCCAATTCTTTAAGTAATATTAATTCTGTGTAGAAATTATAAAAATGTAGGTTAACATATAGGTTTATATAATTCCAACCAAAACTAAGATTTATTTTTGGAACATGACAGAATGTATCTAAAGTTCATCTAGATAAACAAAAAGCTAAGGAAATTAATGGAGAAAAAAGAGGAAGACTTAAATTTACTATATATTATAACATATTTAAGTCCAGTCAACTAATTGGCTTATTAGTATAAGACCATACTGATACATTAGTTTTCCAAAACAAGACAGGATGTAGTTAAAAAAAAAATCAATTAGTAAAAGGATTATTCATTATAAGGTGCAAAGAGAAATGGCTAGCTACCTGGAAAAATAAAATTTAATTTAAAAATTCATTTTAAATATAAATTAATAGACAAAAATTAAGCCACAGACAAGTAGAAAAAGTTAAACTGAATATTTATTAAATGTAGTCGAGGGTAGAATGCGCTATAATTTTTTTTAAAAAATCTTTTTCAGTTACTTTGAAAGACTGTTATTTGACTGACCAAATCAAAATTTAAAAAAACGTAAAATTAAAAAGCCGTAAAAACTTGTAAAACTTTTCAGAAAATGAATTACAGAGGGCTAGTTCATTATCAAAAGTATTCATTCAAATCAAAGCCAAAATACTAGAAAGACTATAGACCTACATGTTCAATTCAGAATATAAGTAGTATTCACTAGCATATATAAAAATGTACCACCCAACTACTAATTCACCAACTATTAGTATTCACTAGCATATATAAAAACGTACCACCCAACTACTAATTTACCAACTATGGTGTTCATATCAAATTTAGTGGCTTTTTCATTCTGGTTTCAGCTTAAATGTTACCTTTTTCAGAAACAGAGTAATGGGTCATTCTGTTTCTCTCATGGTACCTTGTATTTATCATGCACTATATTTGTTTATACCATTCCTTTCCAAACTCCACGAGGTCTAGGCTCTTATGTACTAAGTTCAGTTTTGTAGCATCCTTATCTGGTGTAGGTTCTGCTATTCAGATCTTCCCTGAATAAAATAATTAGCACTTTATGAAAGTCCTTAAGTAACTGGCATCATTTTGAAAGTGTAAGTTTTAGAAACTGAGGGCAATAACAACCTTGCTATATTAAGCAGCTGGCTTTTGAAATAGTCAACAAATGCTACTCTTAAAATTTCAGAAGTTACTTTGTATGGCTAGCATTTACTAGCACCAGGCATTATGCTAAATATTTTACAAGATGAACACATTTAATTCTCATGAGTACTCTCTAAGTTGGCACTACATTAACCCCAATATACAGATAGGGCACTGACAATGCCTGCAGAGGGCAAATTGCATACAAAAGGATTATATTAGTAGATAAGTAGGAGAATCTAGATTTGAACCCCAGTGATTTCACTGTTCAAAAATAATTCTCTACAGTAATTATTAATTATAAGCCTGGAGCCATATATCTGGACTGTCATGCCTTACCAGAAATATCCCATGGGAATTCAAAGTAGGACTCTATTCCAGAGTATTAATCAACTACAGATGAATATAGGGAGGTGTTTCCAACCTTCACTTTCATTTTTAACTATGAAAACAGATTAAAAGGTGCCCTGATATTGATACAGAAGAGGCAGTTTTTCCCAATTTAAACATCTAAAATCACTTAAAAAAAATTTTTTTGAGACATGGTCTCACTTTGTTACTCTGGTTGGAGTATGATCATGGCTGACTACAGCCTTCACACTCTGAGCTCAAGTGATCCTCCTGTCTCAGACCCACTCCCTATCCCTGCCCACCAAGAGCCTGGGAATACTGTCCCATGCTACAATGCCTGGTTAATTTTTGTGGTTTTTGTACAGATGGGGTTTTACCATGTTGCCTAGGCTGGTAAGTTCACTTTTAGTACCAGCTGGTGTTTTCTATTTCTTTCCCATTTTTTTCATTTCATTAGAAAACAAATTTCAATAAAGAGAAAATAGTCTCAAGGGAATCCTAAGACACCCTTTTTTTTTTTTTTTTTTTTTTTAGTGTCCTTGAGTTCACCCAAACGTTTAGCCAACATTTTTGCTTACCATAGGTTCAAATTTCCATTACAAACAAAAGTCCTGTAAAGCTTAATTTTTCCTGATTCCTGTGGTTTAGCAGGGGATGAAATGTGGGGGAGGGTAAAAAAAATCCTCCATTAAAAATAAAATGATCCCAATTTGGTATGAAAAGCAACTGTTTTCTTCATAATTTCAGATTATGGCCTTTGCAGCAACATGAATAGAACTGGAGGTCTTTATCCTAAGCCAATTTACGCAGGAACAGAAAATCAAATAGCACATATTCTCACTTATAAGTGGAAGATAAACAATAAGCATACATGGACACAAAGAAGCACAAAGAAGAATAATAATAGACACTGAGACCTATTTGAGGGTGGAAGGTGGCAGGGGGGTGAGGACTAAAAAAATACCTATTGGGTATTACGCTTATTACCTGGGTCACAAAACTATTTGTATACCAAACCCCTGTGGCATACAATTTAACCTCTGTAAAATTTTCTTTCCAACTTTTATTTTAGGTACAAATCTGTACCTAAAATAAAAGTTGGAAAGAAAAAAAGAAGTGGAATTTTAAGCAACCTCAGCCATCTCAGGCTATGAAGGGCACATTTACCATGCATTGTCAAGCTCCTACCATGATAGGCACTGTGCTTCAAGGTAAATATGTCTATATACCTAGTAAGTGCTATCTTATTTTTCTTAGGGAGCTGGTGTGTCTAATAGTAGTAATCACATGTAAGCTGCAAGAGGGCAGGGTCCATGTCTGTCTCCTTCCTTAGTATATCCTAACACCTAGTGCAAGGTAGGCATTTAAATATGTTAAACAAATACAAGCTTATATGCTTTTATAACACTTTTATTGTTTTAATCCCTTTGAGTATTTTTATGAGGTGACATGTAAATCCAATTATAATATTATACTTATGGGGAACCTAAAATGACTTCAATAATCAGTTAAGTAATAATTAGCACTATCATTAATATTGAATTATCTGTATCAGAAGAAATAGACAATAACTCGACCCCTATTCAACATTTGATACTTTCCTTCAAAACAGGTTATAGCCTTAAAGATACCTTATAGTATTTGGTGAAGTATACATTTTGTATCTTTGTTTGAAAACAACCCATCAATTGCTATTACATATCTTTGGAAACCTTATTATGAATCTAGGCTGGTCTCCCAATCTGAACTACATTCATGCCACATAAATAGCATTCCAAATAGAATTGTTTTTAATTTTTTTTTAAATTACACTTGAGGTGAGTAAAGAAAAATACAGTAAAATTAGATTTTAGAGACTCACTAGAATCCAAACTATACAACTTAATTCATAAGACTAATTCAATCACAGTTTGTAACAAAACAAAAGGAACAGAACATTTTTACCTTCAAATTCAGTGTAAACAATAATTTATCACATTTAAAAAAAAGGCTGCTAATAAGTAGAACTCAGAAATTTCTTGACTTAACTGACAAACTTAGGAATTCTAAAAAGTCATTAAAAATTTTAAAAAGGGCCGGGCGTGGTGGCTCACACCTGTAATCCCAGCACTTTGGGAGGCCGAGGCGGGTGGATCACGAGGTCAAGAGATTGAGACCATCCTGGTCAACACGGTGAAACCCCGTCTCTATTAAAAATACAAAAAATTAGCTGGGCATGGTAGCGCATGCCTGTAACCCCAGCTACTCAGGAGGCTGAGGCAGGAGAATTGCCTGAACCCAGGAGGCGGAGGTTGCAGTGAGCTGAGATCATGCCATTGCACTCCAGCCTGGGTAACAAGAGTGAAACTCCATCTCAAAAAAAAAAAAAAATTTTTTTAAAAGCCTGTAAAATTTATTTCATCTATTTCTATCCATATTCACTTCATTCAGAATATTCTTCCTTGTTGACTATCAGTGGAGTTCATTACATACTAAAAATAACACCATATTTATGCACAGATAAATTAATTTTTCCAGTAAGAGCTAATCTTCCTTTAAGAAGACTTCCCACATATTCACAATACATAATATCACAGAATATCCATATTTGGCCTAGATGTCTCTGAATTGTAGCATTACAAGATGGAAGTTCATTATGTCTAATAATTTGATTGAGTTTTATCCAAATGTCTTCCAGAGTTTGGCTGTTAGAAATAGTGTCTTCTATTGTCCATCTTGCTCTATAAAGTGAGTGTAAATTTAGAGCCTTTAAACTATCTTGCAATTTTTTAGACAAAGGATAAACCTTTTCAGTACAATTACCGCTGGGAAGGGAAATACTCCAAGATCTCCTGTTGTGCTGTTTTCCCTTTTCTGATTGTTTATCCACATTTCCAGAATTAGTCTGTTCCTTCAGTGTGTGTGACCAGGTTAAATGCTGCTGTTTCAAACAAGGTTTAAACTCCAACAGATCTACTGTGCAATCATAACTGTGTGATTCAGCATTATGTTCTGAAATGGCCAAGTACTGTTTCACATCTTCAGCTGCCTCTCCAGAAATCACAGGCGGTGATCTTTTAGGTCTGAGTGGAAGCTTGGACCCATCATATGGAAACCAAGGTATAAATCTTGATAGTGGACGAACAGGAAAGTCTTGAATTGCCTTTTCTGCAATTTTTGGCAGTTGTGTGGGATCACTCTCATATGGTCGATAATGTAATATTACTTCTGTAGTCATTCTGCAGTAATCCAATTACTCTTAGTGATGAAAAAATTTCTTAGCTGAACTCCTCAGAGCTAGAATGTTAATTTATTATTGCAAGATTGTCTCTCTTGCCAAATCAGAGGGAAACAGGACCTAAAGTGGAAGTATTGCAAACAATAAGATACAGTAGGGATATCCTGCCTACAAATAGGCAGGGAAAAAGGAAAACCAAAAACCAAAAACCAATCCCAATGTGGTAGTTTACCAAAGTGCTACTGGTAAATGTGAATGTAATCTACAAACCTGAAAAACTCTTTCTCTTACCAAAATAAGGACTCTGAATTAGATACCCTATAAAATTACTTCCAGGATAAATATGCTGGTAGTCAATGTGTTTAACTTAACAGATATAAAGGGCTTGGAAGTATCAGTATTAATATATTTAGTATTAATAGTCTTAAAACTATAGCAGAAACAAAGAGTAAATGAATAATTCTTAAAATATTGTTTTCCTATGAAAATAATTAACAAAAAATGTAATATTTGAAAATTGAGGACAATGAAATCACTGTAAATTTTACTCCAACATGGTGAAATCCCATCTCTACTTAAAAAAAAAAAAAAAAAAAAAAAAGCTGGGCAAGGTGGTGCATGCCTATAGTCCCAGCTACTAGGAAGGCTGAGGCAGAAGAATAGCTTAAACATGAGAGCCAGAGGTTGCAGTGAGCTGAAATTGTGCCACTGCACTCCAGCCTGGGCAACAAAGCGAGACTTTGTCTCAAAGAAAAAAAAATTCTAATCTGTTTGGAAGAAAATTAATCATTTTACACTTGAAAATTATATGGATTCCTGTAATCCCAGCTACTCAGGAGGCTGAGGCAAAAGAATCACTTGAACCAGGGTGGTGGAGGTTGCAATGAGCTGAGATCACGCCATTACACTCCAGCCTGGGTGACAGGGCAAGACTCCATTTCAACAACAATAAATTATATGGATTTCACCAAACAAATATATAGATAGAATATTTGATGATATCATCTCATTCTCTGTAGTAAAAACTAAAACCATGAATATGGTTTAACTTTGCATTTTAACCAGGCCAAGAACCAGTTTTGTGATGCTGTCTTCTCCACATAATCCAGGCAATTAAGCAGTATGGAGACCCTAATACCATGGCTTTTGTATTCCAATGTGGAGGAGAACAAGAAGTCTAGACTCCTATTTTTTTCTCTTAGAGCACAGAAGTTCTCAAGTTGCCCCACATTAAGTCACTGATAATAAATTCCTGCATATGGTACATAGGATCAAGAATGGAGCCTTCCGATATCTGCAAGTTAGGCTTCCTAACCAGGCCCAAAGTTGTAAGGGCGACAGAACAGGCTTTCTCACATCCTAACAACTGCAGAAAAAAATGAGTTGAATCTCTTCTCCCCAAAAATCATTAGAGAATTACCTGATGAAGGTTCTCCCATTGCTAGAATAATACCATGAGTATGGACTGCTGTCATGATGTAACAATAGAATCACTATCTGACTCTGAAGAGTCAGAAGAAGTAACTAATTCCATGATTCTTTTTACTTACTGTTACTGTCCACTAACAGATGTGACAACTCTCAAATTCATAAATGTGATCTTTAACATCCATAATTTTAAATATGGATTGAAATGATATCACGTATTTCTTCAAGAATTAATAATGCACTAATGTTTTTCTTCCGTTCCTTATACTTTCACATTGTAAAATGTGAAATGGCATTGAAAAATTCTCTCATCTGAACTCAATCAGTGTTATACTCAAGAGACAATTTTTTTTTATTTTGAGACAGTCTCGCTCACCCAAGCTGGAATGCAGTGGTACGATCTCCGCTCATGGCAACTTTCAACTCCCAGGCTCAAGTGATTCTTGTGCCTCAGCCTTCTGTGTAGCTAGGACCGCTGGTGTGCACCACCATGCTGGCTAATTTTGGTATTTTCAGTAGAGATGGGGTTTCACCATGTTGGCCAGGCTGGTCTCAAACTCCTGATCTCAAGTGATCAGCCACCTCGCCCAACCAAGAATAACAAGGCATTATCTTTTTTTTTTTTTTTTGAGATGGAGTTTTTGCTCTGTTGCTCTGGCTGGAGTGTAATTGCGTAATCTCAGCTCACTGCTGCCTCTGCCTCCCACGTTCAAGTGATTCTCCAGCCTCAGCCTCCTGTGTAGCTGGGATTACAGGTATGCGCCATCACCCCAGGCTGATTTTGTATTTTTAGTAGAGATGGGGTTTTTACATGTTGGTAATCCTGGTTTCGAACTCCCCACCTCAGGTAATCTGCCCACCTCAGCCTCCCAAAGTGCTGGAATTACAGGCGTGAGCCACCGCTCCTGGCACAAGATACTATCTTTAACATTTTACATATAAAAATATAAAGTGAACTTAAATGACCACTTAAATTGATATATTTGGCATCCAACACCAGTAAATTGAGAGTGTGAAAATCCTTGATTAGCTAGAACAATGGGCTAACTAGAAGATGGTACAAAAGAGGTTTAATAAAGTTGAAACTATCAGTGAATTTTAAAACATTTGCCCGTTTAGGCTGCCCCCCCAACTTTTTTTTTTTTTTTTTTTTTGAGATAGAGTCTTACTCTGTCACCCAGACTGGAGTGCAGTGGGGCAATCTCAGCTCACTGCAGCCTCTGCCTCCCACTTTCAACCAATTCTCCTGCCTCAGTCTCCTGAGTAGCTGGGATTACAGGTGTGTGCTACCACACCTGGCTAAGTTTTGTATTTTTAGTAGAGACATGTTTTTGTCATGTTAGCCAGGCTGGTCTCAAACTCCTGACCTCAAGTGATCTGCCCACCTTGGCCTCCAAAAGTGCTGGGATTGCAGGTGTGAGCCACCACACCTGGCCTAGGCTGCTTAAAAATTCCTTCCTAGGTATCCTCTGTTTTGGAAAACAGAGAATAACAGAAAACTAAAAACTCCCAGTGGCAGTCTCTGTTTCACTGGTATTTAACTTTTTAATAGCTTCTAATTTGTACAAATCACACCTTGCAGCTAACAGAACTGCTCAAAATTCCCATCGTAGTTGGTAGAGGAAATATCTCTGATAATGCTGTTTCATTCATTAGGAGGCAACATGGACTCTTGAAAACAGGCAGGTCTTACGTTGAAATACTGCCTCAATCACTTACTAGCTATGTGATCTTGGAAAAGTTGCTTCAACTAAAAGAATTAATATTTACTCCACATACTTGAAGTGAGATTGAGAGATAAAGAACATGCTTTTCTTCTTTTCCCTCTTCTCCACGAGTAACAATCCATTTTAGTCTAGATCATTTGCTCATGTTAAGCTTACAGATTCCCATCACGGTATCACTTAAAATTACAAAGGTCCATAGTAAGAGATAGTCTTGCTAACTAAGGCATCATTATATGACTCTATGTTACAAATGAGACTGATGAGCTTCTAAAATGTCTGATGACTACCTCATAATGGGAAGGCTAAGGCATCTCTCAAAATGGATGCCATAAGTGCAACTGAATTGAATCCAAATGTTTACTGAGCATTTATTTCCTCAGCTCATTCAAGCCGTATATTAGAGCATACAAGAAACAAAAAGTGCATTTGTTGTAGTAAAAAACAAAACTGAAAAGATTTCAAATAAAAGATTTTCAGAAAATAGGCATTAAAAAAAAAAAAAAACTGTCCTAAAAAACAAAAAACAAAAAACTGTCTTGCTGGTTTTCCCCCTAAATCATGATCTAATTAAATCATCCAACTTAATCAAAATGGCTGTGTACAAAAAATGAGAGTTGACATTAGATCTCGGACATGTTTCCCACATACAGTGCTTTGAAGTAAACTGCAGTTTGTTTTTAATAACTCTAAGCTATACGTTGTATCACTATGCATTGCTAAATTCCTGGCACTACTGCCATGCAATACTAATTTTACAGAGGAAGCTGAACCCTGTTAACTTCGTCAGTGCCACATGAAGAGACAAGAGACAGAAGGAAAAAGCACTTTAGATGCCCGCTGTAATTCATCCTAGTTCATAGAGATCTCCACGGTAGGGGCGGGACGTTAGCTTCTGCGGCTAAAATCTGGTGACTGAAGCAGCATAGATCAGAAAGAATGATTTACAAGCTATCTATTTCATTCTATAAAGGGGCCCTTAAACCTAAAAAGCATCCAGGCGAAATCGCTTCCTTCCGCTTGGCGCCAAGGGACAGAGCAGGAGGGCGAGCACTGACAGTGTTTAAGAAGGATGAGGCTTACATGACAAAGGCTTCGAGAAATAGCGAAGGGAAGAAAACAGAAAAAGAGAACTCAGGTTCGCAAAAGTTTACCTTTCAGCGCCAGCAGGTGCTCCTGTTTAGGGGGATTCACTTCCATTTTGACCGATACTTTTGACTCACGGCCTACGGGGGCTGGACAGGTTCAATTTGGCCCGGAAGAAAACGGAAAACCTCGCCTTGGGGAAGACCAAGAGTCAAACGCACACTCGACTTCTCTCTGGTGGTTGTACCTTAAATTCTCTTACTATGTTCTTTACAGACTGGCTTCTTTTCACCAAATCCATCTCTTTTGTCTTAGAAACCTATACTATACATAAAGTACTTTGTTTTCTATCTGCAGTCACACATCTCGACTTCAGGAACCCACCCCTTGGCAACAATACGCAGCCTCCCAAAGGCTAACGTTACCGGCGTAAAAAAGTGACAGTGGCATGCTGGGATTTGTAGTTTATACAAAAATCTTGTTGCAGGCAGGGAGATGCCCTGCGCCCGCCACACCCCCATCCCCAGTTTACAGCTTGGCTGGTTTACGATTCGAGAGGAGAAATCATTACAGGAGCGGAAGTTTCACCCCAGAACTTTAATTCTGTTTTATCTTTTTTTTTTTTTTTTTTTTTTAACTTTTTTCCAGCAGTTGCAGACTACGTAATGAAAAATAACAAAGTGCCCATGCGCAAGGTTGTGCAACGAAGCAGCCCACGACTGCCGGCAGGCGGTGTTAAAGAGTCGGCTAAGCGGCGCCCAGAGTCCTACTGCGCCTGTGCACCGGTGGCGTGCGCAGAGGCCTCTGGGTAGGTGGCTCAACCCCGCCTCTCAGTTGAGGATTCTGAGGGCTGCTTCTGTGGCGCCTCTCCAACGAGGATGGCTACCCTGGTTGTAAACAAGCTTGGAGCGGGAGTAGACAGTGGCCGGCAGGGCAGCCGGGGGACAGCTGCAGTGAAGGTGAGGTGCTTTAGGCGTGCTCTGTTCTCCACCATCGGCCTACCTTCGGTTCATCCTGGAGACCAGGCGGCGTCGCCGTGGCCCAGGCTTCGATGGGTGGGATGCGCGATTTCTGGGCCCCTTTTGGTTTTACAAGTCTTGTCTTCTCCTCTGCGACCATTTTCTCCTATGGCCTGAAATTGCCTGGTCTTCTGCTCATGACATGTCATCATCGAGACATTTGCGAAAAGGAGCTTGCGGGCCACTGTCAGTGACCTAGACAGATCTTTCCCCAGTTTCTCTGCTTCTAGTTAAACTCAACAGGCATTAATTAGCTTAGTATTATAAATTGAGCCGTCATCACTGTAACGTACTACGTTCGGTGTTGTACTTCGTTAATATCTACTTATGAAGTAGATTTAATTCCCATTTTACAGGGAGGAAACCCAGCCAGGTTTAGGTTAACACAGTGTATGACAGAGCCCAGAGTTGACTGGCTCTAAAGTCTATGCTTTTCGCTATTGTACTACGTCTGTAGTAATCAGACATCCATTATTGGTTGAGCTGCCATCTCCCCTTTTAGTAGTACAGTCTGGTAACACTTTTCAGAAGTCTGCAACATCATAGCTGGGCATTAATGATAGAATTTATGAATTTCCTTAGGCTTGAAGTTTGAGATTCTACCATGTATACATGCTCCAGAATGAATTTACTAAAAAATCAATGGCACTCCTTTTTCCCTTCCACTGTGTCCATGGAAAGATCTGGAGGGGAGAACTGATCTCATTGGTTTATAGAGTGACCTTCAGGAGCATTTCTAATCTAAGAGATTGATAATTTTCATTTCTAGCTACATAGTAAGATCACTGAGGATTTTTAATACACTACTGATGCAGTCCTTCTCCAGTTCTGATGAGGTTGACATCAGTATATTTTAGGAATTCCCTGAAGTTTTTAAATGTGCAACCAGGGTTAAGAACTACTGAACAGGATAATATCTGAAGTTCTTTTAACATCTTGAAAAATAGACGCCTATGATTATTCAGTTAATAGTATTCAGTTGGTTTTATATAACAGCAAATGAGACATTTCTTCCCACAATTTAGTATCAGTCAATATTGGTGATTGTTGATTCAGATGACCTTTATGTACTAATAAAGTTACTCTGCAGGTATCTGATATCCAAAGGAGCCCTCATTATTAGGCATGTTGTGTGATTGAGATTTTGTTTATTGAATTGTGCTTTTGCTAAGTAGAGAATACTTGCAGAGTACTTTGTGAATTAACTTGAAGTTTTTTTTTTGTTGTTGTTGTTTTTTTGAGACGGAGTTTTGCTCTTGTTACCCAGGCTGGAGTGCAATGGCATGATCTCGGCTCACCGCAACCTCCGCCTCCTGGGTTCAGGCAATTCTCCTGCCTCAGCCTCCTGAGTAGCTGGGATTAGAGGCACGCGCCACCATGCCCAGCTAATTTTTTGTATTTTTAGTAGAGACGGGGTTTCACCATGTTGACCAGGATGGTCTCGATCTCTTGACCTCGTGATCCACCCGCCTCGGCCTCCCAAAGTGCTGGGATTACAGGCTTGAGCCACTGCGCCCGGCCTAACTTGAAGTTTTATTTCATGATTGGAATGAGTATCATTGCAGTATCTATTTTTTTTTTTTTACCCTGTTTGCCTTACAGTCTCAAAAGTGTACCGAGGCCTGATGTAACTCCAGTTTGTTACAGCACAGAATTTGATACACTAGAGTCTCATCTTGTTCGTTTTCATCTTAACATGTAAAATGTTCCTGAATTGTGCAATAAAATAGTCCTTTTTGACAAAATCTTCATGCCGTAATTTGTCATAGGTATAGTGGCATAAATTAAAAACTCATTGTCATTTTTATAGATAAAAGCAAGAAATATTTATTGGAAGGTAAAAGTTGAAGTATATAATACTCATACTCTGTAAAATGGCCTTTTGCTTGTGAACAAGTTGATAATGACATGGTTTTTGTCATTAGGGAAAACAGTGACATAAAAATCTGATATTGTGGCTGGGCACAGTGGCACACACCTGTAAAGCATAAAGTGCCTGGGAAGCAATTTAGGAGACCGAAGTGGGCAGATCACTTGAGGTCAGGAGTTCGAGACCAGCCTGGCCAACATGGTGAAACCTTGTCTCTACTAATAATACAAAAAGTAGCTGGGCACTGTGGCATGCTCCTGTTAATCCTAGCTACTCAGGAGGCTGAGGCAGGAGAATTACTTGAACCCAGGAGGCGGAGGTTGTGGTGAGCCGAGATCATGCCACTGCACTCCAGCCTGGGCGACAGAGCAAGACTCCATCTGAAAAATAAAAAGTACAAAATCTGATATTATGAAATAACGGACATTTAAAAATGTATCACAGAAAGTTTCTTTAGCTTAGTGAGTCTCCTTAGGCTTTTAAAATTTAATCTGGGGCTGGGCACAGTGGCTCACACTTTTAATCTCAGCACTTTGGGATGCCGAGGTGGGAAGATTGCTTGAGCCCTGGAGTTTAAGACCAGCCTGGGCAACATAGTGAGACCTTACCTCTACAAATATTATTTTTTAAAAATTAGCCAGATGTGGTGGCTCGTGCCTGTGATATCAGCTACTTGGGAGTCTGAGGCAGGAAGATTGCCTGAGCTCAGGAGATCAAGGCTCCAGTGAAATATGCTCAGACCACTACACTCCAGCCTGACTGACAGAGTGAAACTCTTTCTCAAAATAATAAAAATAAATAACAATCTTATCACAGTTTGATTTACATGTAATAAGTTTGAAGCTTTCTTTTGGCATTTTGTGAACTGTAAAATTAAGAGCTTTTTCCTGTCTAGGACTTTTTGCTATTAGCCACAATTCCTATTTGTAGATACTGAGGAAATAATTTATTGCTGTATTATTTACCAAATTGATGCAAAATAGTCTGGCAACTTTAGTTTTGGACCTGTGTTTAGCTTGCTAATCAATGAAATTTTATTAGTGCTTTTTTTTTTTTTTTCTTGAGACGGAGTTTTGCTCTTGCTACCCAGGCTAGAGTGCAATGGCGCGATCTCGGCTCACCGCAACCTCCGCCTCCCGGGTTCAGGCAATTCTCCTGCTTCAGCCTCCTGAGTAGCTGGGATTACAGGCATGCCCAGCTAACTTTTTGTATTTTTTTTTTTAGTAGAGGCAGGGTTTCACCGTGTTGACCAGGATGGTCTCGATCTCTTGACCTCGTGATCCACCCGCCTCAGCCTCCCAAAGTGCTGGGATTACAGGCTTGAGCCACCGCGCCCGGCTCTTATTAGTGCTTTTTGAAAAATATGGTAACAGCATAAGGAAGTCCTTTTAAATCTTGTATAGTGAGAAATACAGGATTTATTAATACTATATTATAGTATAGCATTTATTAAATGTTGCATTTAATAAATGTTTATTTTATATCAAATTCCATTGTGAATTTTTTTTCTATATTTAATTGAAATTTTTGTTTTGAGGCAGGTTCTCACTCTGTCACCCAGGTGGGAGTGCAGTGGCACGATAATGGCTCATAGCAACCTTGATCTCCTGGGTTCAAGCGATCCTCCCACCTCAGCTTTTGATTTTTTATAGAGACATTGTCTCACTGTGTTGCCCAGGCTGATCTTGAACTCCTGGCCTCAAGCAGTCTTCCTGCCTTGGTGTCCTAAAGTGCTGTGATTACAGGGGTGAGCTACAGAGCCAGGCCTAAATGAATTTGATGTGAAACTTTTCCCTTTTAAAAAAACGGAGGATAAATTGAAGTATGTCTCTCTGTATATAATGTTAGAATTATACACGAGTAGCTGTTCTTCAGCTGTGTCACTTTCTCATGGGGAACCAATGTTCCAATGTTACTGGTATCCTATATATCCTTCCAGGAAGACAGTATACTTATACAACAATATAAAAAAAATTTGCTCTTTCCCTGCCTTTAGGCAAAAATGAATATATTCTATTTATCATTTTTTTTTGTTTTAGTCATAGGAAATCATTTTGTGTATATATGAAAAACTTCATCTTTCTTACTACCCTATATAGTTTTATAGTATTATGAATGTACCATAATTTATTTTCCAAGCTGATAATTGATGTATATTAACTTTGTTTTCAATTTTTTGCTAATGCAAATGGTGTTTTAAGAAAGACGGATTTTGTCACACATGTCTAATATGCTTGTAGGATAAATTCCTGCAACTGGAATTACTGAATTATTTAAACTTTTGGTAAGTTTTGACAAGTTGTCCTCCATAGAAGCAATATTGCTCAATGAACATTTCACAGTAATCAATAATGTGTGAGTGTCTGCTTTCCCACACCTTCACAACCAAGTGTTACCAACATTTTTTATCTAATCTGAAAAAAAAAAGTATTTTGATGTAGCTTTAGTTCGCATTTTTTTTCTTTATTTTCTTTGAG